CAGTCAAAAAACTGAAACATCCTCCTTTAAGACATTTTTTACTAGAAAATTGCTATCAGCTATAGTTTACCTTCCATAATGGAAGATTTATGTTTAAATGTCTCAAGTTGGGAGGCAGGGATATACCTCAGAAGCACAGTGCCTGCTTGGCAAGCACAAGGTCAGGAGTTTGATTCCTGGTACAAAGAATGTCTTAAATTAAAACACAATGAGTCTTTATAAAAAATTAAGTAAGTCTCCAACACACAAAAATCCTTTCCTTCTCACTCATTCTCTTATTTCTCATCCTAGCGATATCTGTTTATTTAATACATAAGTACTGATGTGCATACATATACACATACATTCTTTAAACATACCTTTGGGATTCGATACATGTTAAATAACCTACTTTTCTCAAATAATGTATTTTCAAATAATGGGAATTTTTTCTCATGTAAAACAAACTTTCCTTATTTCAACAACTCCATGGCATTTAGTGAAGCATTAAACCATCTATTACTGGATATTCAGTTATTGCTGATGTTGTACTACTATAACTGGTGAAGCAATGATATTATTTTATATAAAGATGCTTTGCTTGTTTACATGAGTTTTTTTTAGGGTTGAGTTACAAGAATGTGATTTTTGAGTTATAGTATAGCAGCATTTTGTGTCAACGATGACACTACTGTCCCATAGAAAATATCATATTCAATTTTATACTCTAAGCAATAATGATGAGAAAGCTTTTTCACCTTCTCCCCATTACTTAACTTTTTTTTTTACTAAACACTTTGAACCATTTTTTAGATCTGACTTTCTTATGAATTCAATACATATTCATTATCTAAAAAAATAATGCAAAGGAAAGTTAATATAAAGACATATACTGAGAAGGGCCAACCAGATAGCTCAGCAGATTAAAGCACTTGCTTAGGCAGACTCAGGGACCAGGTTTGCCAGCTCCACACCCAGGGCACACTGAGACAGCGAATGTGAGACTGGGCATGGTGGCGTGCGCCTGTAATCCCAGCGCTTGGGAGGCTAAAAACAGGAGGATCACTACAAGTCCGCACAGGAGGTTGAGGCAGAAAGTTTTTTGTTTTTTTTTTGGTGGAATCAGGGTCTGAATCAGACCCTTGTGCTTGCCAGGCAAGCACTTATTCTACTGAGCCATCTCTCCGGCCCCCAAGGAAGCATATCTTGAGAAAATAATAATTAAAAACTTCTAAAACTTAATGAAAAACAAGTACTTATTTAAATGCTCAGGGATCTTCAAGTAGGGTAACTCACAGAGATTCACACCTAGAAACATAAACTTAACCTATGATAAAGAGAACATTTGAAAGCAGAAAAGAAGTAGCAAATGACTAGTTATTAGCAATTCTCATAACATTATCACTCATCAGAAGCCATGGGGAAAAGACAATAGGACATTGCATAATGAACAGAACTTCAGAGAATCTCCTGGCAGCTGGTTGGCCTATAAGAAATACTGAAGGAAGCCCTGTAAGCAGAAACACAAGGATGTTAAACAGAAATCTGAATATGCATGAAGAAATAAAAAGTGACAGTAAAGAAAACTTCATAGATAAATATATATAAGACAAGTGGCATGTTTTTGTCTATAACTACTTTTTACCTCTGTTTTACTTAAAAGAAAACTGCATAATACAATAATTAGAAAACTAAGGGCACACAATGTTTTAACATGTAATTTGTATTACAATAATGTCATAAAGGAGAAAATGAAGCTAAATTTATCTGTAGTATTAAAATTAAAAAGGCAGATATAAACTCCACTATAATTACATTTAAATGGATTAAACACTCCATGAGAAGGAAGACATTAGTAGAAAAATATCTAACTGTATGGTATCTATAAGAGACAGAATTTTTGATTCAAAGACACAAATAAGTTAAAAGCTAAACAGTGGAAAAAAGAAATGTCATGAAAAAGTAGCCAAATGAAAATTTAAGGGCCAATTAAACTACCAACTTCAGACAAAATAAATTTTAAAATAAAACATCACTATGTAAGATATATTTTAGTGACACAGGGTCTATGCATGATGAAAATACGGAGTTTCAAAATTTATGAAGTAAAAACTGGTAAGAATTAAAGGGAAAAACATGTAATTCAACAATAGAAGTTAAAAGCTGCCCATACTCCACTTTCAAGAGCAAAAACAAATAGAAATAAAAACAGAAGAAAACAGTAAACACACCAGACCTAACAAACATCCATAGCAAATTCCATTCAACAACAGCAGAAAATGCATTAGTCTTAATGTATATGGAGGGAATATTTATTCTCATTACAGAATGAAGTTTCATCCAACTTTTTTTTTTACTTTTTTTTTTTGTGGCTGGTGCAGTCCATCTTGGGGATGGGGCTGGTGCAGCATGTGGAACTAGTAATAAACCCACAGTCCTTGCACTTGCCTAAGCAGGCACTTTAGTCCACTGAGCTATCTTGCTTGCCCCTAATCCAATTCTTGAATAAAAACTAAAACTAATTAAGGTCTTTAAATTACAGGAGGAAAAGTATATACAGAACAGCCTCCATGTTAGGCCATAGAACCATTTTTAACAAATTTTTAAAGGACTGAAATCACACAAATTTATTCCTATTATAATGCAATGACATTCGAAATCAATAAAGGGTCTGAGGTAGTAGCTTGGTAGCAGAGTACATGCCTACTAAACACGGGGCTGGGTTCAGTCTCCAGAATGGAGAAGGAAAGAGGGAGTAAAGGATGGAGGCAGGAAAGGGACAATAAAAAGAAAACAAAATAATCGAGAGGTTAAGACACATGAAAAAATTCAACAATAAACTTCACACTAAGGGTTAAAGAAGAAATCATGGCGCGCGGCTCCGGAGCAGGCATGAGTGATTTGAGTGAAGAATTGACAAGGCCGGGGTCAGACGGTGACCATGTGGAAACATGTGTGGTCTCTGGTGCGGGCATGCACTTCCCGTGGCTGCGCAAACATCTAGACAGCGTGGCAACTGGAGGGAAGAAGAAGAAGGACTTTGCGCAGACCACAGGTGCTTGTCTGAGTCTCGCCCAGGAGGCCTTGCTGCAGCAGCAGTGGCCGCACGCCGCCGAGTTCATACACAGCTACCTGCAGACCCTGGAGGACTCGGACAGCAGCCAGCGGCAGGCTGCGCCCAAGCAGGGACTCCAGATCTGAACTCTGGTTCCCAGACCCCTGACATCAGTGCATTCCAGTGGTGCTTCCTCCCTTCCCCTGCACAGGATGTTTTTCACCGTCAGACAAAAACTCTGTGAATTCTGCGTTAAAATAATCTTTTGGGCTGGGGAGATGGCCCAGTGGAATAAGTGCTTCCCTGGCAAGCAGAAGGGTCTGAGTTCAATCCCCGGTTCCGCTAAATAAATAAATAAATAAATAAAATCATCAAAA